GATATAGACTGTAGGAAAATATTGCGTTTGGATTATCTTGGAGCATATTATCCAGAGGAGAAGCTCGGCCAAACACTAACATATGTGTTAGTCAAATACAATGTCTCCATAGAATCACGTTTTTATTATAAAATTGCCTTGAAAAGGGCACCAAAGAACAAAACAAGCGCTAAACTAAACAATTTTCGCCTTTTAATTCCCTAAACGCACATAATTTCTTGCGAAAGGCACAAAGTTGGCAACAGTTATATCGATGTCAAATTTGCTCATATACAAGCATGGACAGAGAGTGAGCGCCTGTTTAAAGAGCGTAAGCATCACATGCAAATACATGCGAGAGCTTAACAAAGCGAACGCAAATTCATTCAAACGTAATTGGCACACTAACACAATCACGCTTTCAGCTCGCGTTTACTTGTGGCAATGATCACATATACACTCCTCGTCATTTGAATTGCACACCCTTTCAATTCTTAGTATTTACAGTTTTCCGTTTGTTTATTTAATATAAATTTTTGTAAAAATATCGTCACTACATACGAATAAAGGCGCGCTGGTGTTGTGACGGTGAAAAAAGCGTTTAAAAAAATTTTGCGAAAAAAGATGCTTATAAAAAACTTTGGCGAAGTATGTTAAGAGTATTTGACGCTGAAATTTTTTTATGCGTCTTTTTTGCCGTCAACTTTTGAGCTCGCGCCTTTATTCGTGTCTAGTGACGATATAGCATATTCTACGGGTAAATGCAATTTTAAAATTTTTTACAAACTAAAACTAAAAAAAGGAAGGTTTATTTTCCACTTCTTGGGCAGCATTTTATATGATTTTTTCGTTTTTCTCGAGAGCTGGAAACAGTTCTTAAAAAAGGTCAACATAGTAGTGTGCCATCCTAATGACCTGCAGTGAATAAGTTAATAATATTTTTAGAAAAATTTCTGATACGCAGTTTTGTAGTCCATTCAATTATAGTGTAATTAAGTGCAAGTTTGAAGTGATTCTAAAACAGCCCCGATTTTTCAGATTCATTTATTTTTTATTGACAGTGCTGCGAATTTATTCCATATAAAAGTTTTGTCGAGCATACTTTGTATGAGAGAAAATGCGCAGCACTATCACCAAAAAAAATGTCAAAAATCACCGCTTTTTTACAGACACTTGAAACTTGCACTTTAATGTACCCCTTTGTTGATATCTTTTTAACTCTGTATAAAGTTTTAAAATCGGATGTAATTCATATTAAATAAACAAAATTAAAAGTGTAAATACTAAAGATTAAAAATTTGAGCTATTCAAATGACGAGGGTGTATGTGGCGTACGTTTGGGAGAGTGAGCCTTTTTACTCCAGAACTGCGTGTGCAGTGGCTCTCATTGCTATACGTGTATTAGTAAGATTTGTTGCCCCCTTCCCGTTTGCCCATGATTTTCCCCTGATCCAGCCCGCGAAATGGGCTCGCTTGCCCATACGGGCAAAAAAGCCCATACGGGCAAAAGTGCCCATGTCTGCGCTATACTTTTAAAATTTTGTGTATTTCTGCGTCTTTTCTGCTGTGCCGTACAACTTCAAATAATTTAACTTTTTCCACGACATGACGTGATATAGAATTTGATGAGGACCGTTAGGCTGTATTCCTATGTACAGTGACGGGCAAAACTGTGACATGGTGTAACACTTTTTACTTCAGCTATCGCTATCTTTCCAAGTTCTAACGACTTTCATACTTTTGTTGTATATTCTTTTTGGTACATCCCTTCTCCCTCTCTCATAACGATTTGAAGTCAATACAACAATAAAAAAACCAGCTGACAAAAATGTAAATTAAGGCAGAGGTTACAGTTTTGCACTCATAGATTTTTAAGGACTTTTTAACAATTTTCACGAAAAAAAGAACTACTAACACAATGTTCAGTACTCTCTGCTTGTTTCAGTTCCCGGAACCGATTTGGCATACCTTATTTGTATCCACGGTGGAGAGAATACAGAGGTGGCGCCGATGACGATACCGCTACTCGGCTCTCAGTGATTTTGACAAAATCAGCTGTTTTGGTGACGTCATAGCATGAACGAAAGACACAAGATCACGTAAGAACAAGAGAGTGAAAAAAGTCGATTTTTTGAGCGGGTTCTACGCCATCTTGTTTCACTGGAAAACGAGCGAAAAGTAAACAAAGCAAAGAAAACAACGAAAACCAAAATTAGCCGAAATTATTGTCAGCCACTTTAAACGCACAATTTAGGTAAAATGATGCAACAAAATGCTATAAAATGTGTTGTCATGTTGAATTAACTCTTGAATAAAATTGTAAAATAGTGGTGCTTGTGATGTAAACAAACGCTCAGCTGACGAACCCGCTTTCGCAAACTTTTTTCTCAAAACCAGTTACAAATACAACGTCGCGTTCTTACGTGATCTTGTATTTTTGGTTCATGACGTCATAGTAGAGAAGACAGCAGTAGTGATGTGCTGAGTCAATACTTTTAAGTACCCAATACTCTCGATACTCAGTACCGAAACATTTAGGTTTCGAATAGAAGCGCACATAGGCCAAAAATATGGAAAAAACGCCTAACAAAACCCGAATGTAAGAGCCAATAGAGCTTTTTTACTAATTCAAATGAAAGATGTATATATGTCGGTTCGATGCCATAATACAGAGAAACCCTTACTTGTTTGAAGCATTTTTGTTCCAGCTGAATCGGACGATATCATTTTTGTAGCCCTGGGACAGGTTCTGTAACCAGTTAACGACAATTTTCGAATCGGTATCGGTTTTTTCGACGTTTGATATCAAATATTTGTAAGTCAACAAGTGCGATATCGATCCGAAACTTGTCGCTAACTGGCTACAGAATCTCTCCCGTGAAAGGCTTCTTCATCCGTCAAAGTATTTTTCTTGAACCTTGGATCGACTAAGGTTAAAACTGATAAAATAATATTTTTCTGTGGCGATAAGTTCAAGTGTTTTAGCCGATATCATATAAATTAGTAATGAAAATTTTTTCTAAACCTGAAATGCATATAATGGCGAGGGTTTAATGTAAATAATCGGTATCGGATACCGAAAAGGAAGTATAGGGTACCGAAATCTTTTTTAAGTATTGGGGACAATTCAGCACATCACTAGTCGCCCTCATTCTCGCCGCTCTCAGTTGTCAACTCTACGGTGACGTCACGCTAAAATTACTCTCACGAATTCTGCTGCAATCGGCGCAATCTTGTATTCTATCATTCTTGATTTGTATCTCTGCAAAAATTCTGGAGGTATATCCTTAGTTTCCTTTCACAGCTCATGTACTCGATTTTACGGACTTGGATACTTAGTAAGCTGTGCTTTTAGTTGTTTTCGCAAATTCTCAATGAGATTCATGCCCACGGATTGTGGAGGTCATTTGAAATTAGCAAATTTTTGCTTTTGTATCCAGTCTTTGCGAATATGTGCAGTGTGTTTTGGGTGATTTTTCAGCAGAAACTCTCATTTTTTCGACTACATCTTGCAAATTTTGTTGAAATATGAACAGATACTGTTCCTCACGCATAAGAAGAAGCATGCATTTTGTTGATTCAGAGTTGTATACAAAATTACTGTGGTATGAAAGGGAGCAACAACCGGACTATGGCAGAGTGGCACAAGTCATGAATGTGTAATAGTGCCCGAAACTAATTGCAAAATTGTAAAAACATTGCAAGTTATTGTCTATTATAGATACTAGTACAGATAGTTCATAGTTCAGTGTAAAATAATTAATATTATACCGTACATGGTAATGAACTGTTAAATGCTGAAAACGCTTGTAACATGTAGATCACTAAAACTTGGGTGTGCTTAATGGACTGTCTGGGCGATTAGGGCAATTGCGAGGTGGACGATGACCGCAACATTTTCTCCATACAATTTGCATTGGTTAATGTGGCTGTCTTGGTCAAACTTGGAGGTAGAGAAGCGGTTCACCGTGAAACAAAAACACTGAAAAAGAAGACCTTCGGTTTTCCTTACTTGCAAGTAAAAGTTATGTATACCTGGCTGGATATGGTACCAAAAACAAAGTTAAATGTGGTGGGTTGTTATGCAAATGCACTGGGCACTAAAAGGCATTGTATCCAATTGCTAAACAAAAATGTTCCATCGTTTTGAGTAGATATAATTAACAAGTAATTTTTAGCAAAAAAAAACCGACTTCAACTCTCATATGAAAAAATTATATATATATATATATCTCAGGATCCAGATTCCGACGAACTGATAACCTCCTTTTTTGGAAGTCGGTTAAAAATAATGTTTTACAATTAAGGGTTCTAAATGTTGTTGGTTACACACACCTCAGTTATTTGAGGATTTATTTAAATCCTTAATGCATAAATGCATTCGGCATTTGAATAAAAGCTTTTTAACTCTTTCCGGCAATTGCGAGGTGGACGATGACCGCAACATTTTCTCCATAAAATATGCACCGGTCAATGTGGCTCTCTTGGTCAAACTTTTCCTTACTTGCAAATAAAAGTTATGTATACCTAGCTGGATATGGTACCAAAAACAAAGTTAAATGTGATGGGTTGTTATGCAAATGCACTGGGCACTAAAAGGCATTGTATCCAATTGCTTAAAAATACGTTTCACTGGATCAAATGCAGCGATCGAAAGCTTTTTTATTTTGCAAATTTTCAACTAGCCAATTCTGTATACCAAACCTTAGTCGAGGCATAAACTTTACTTGCACAACAGCTAGTATTAGCATTACTAAACTTAATTAGTTTTTTAAACTGCTTACTAAACGTAAAACGATTTATTTCATTGAAAACACCGCAATTTTATAATTCATAACTCAGAAATTCAGATTTGCAACACGAAAATGAATAATGAAGAAGAGATAAAAAAACAATGATGCAAACGCTTTCTTTTAGAGCGATATCAAGAAAAGGAGTTGCTGCCTGCGATAGCAGTTTTTAATAAAACACAATCTTTGGAGTATGCGAACAATACGCTATACTTTTAAAATTTTGTGTATTTCTGCGTCTTTTCTGCTGGGCTGTACAACTTCAAATATTTTCACTTTTTCTACGACATGACGTGATATAGAATTTGATGAGGACCGTTAGGCTGGATTCCTATGTAAATCAAAGTGTACATGATGTGTGTGTGTATTTAAATATATGCATTATACATTATCTTTAACAAACATATGCTTAATAGTACAAAACAGAAAAGAGATGTCATTATTTTTGAGCACAGCAGAAATACTTATTTAACATACATAAGTTACATAATAACATAGGAACTACACTACTCAGCTTTACTTATCGGCGGCAATAGGAGTAGTTCTAGTACTATTTTCCTTAAGTTTTGTGGTATAAATATGTTAGTAGGCATCATTGGAAATAAGCGTACTGATTTTGTCAAAATTACAACAAACACGTCGCTACTGACAACACCTTATTATTATTCCACCGTGATCCGAATCCATATTAAACATTTTTACCGTGTCTTGCAGCGACTTGATTGCTTGAAAATTTCGCATCAATTGGGCACGATCAGAGCAAAGCCATAATTGTCGACATCACTGATTCATAGCGTATGCTCATGTATGTGTGAAAGCAGCGCAGTTTTTCCCCCGTGTACGTGTAAAAGCAGAAGAGAAAAATTTGGCACGCGTGCCTATGAAATGGCCACCCTTGCTTTAGAATCAAAAAGCCCTCCTCTAGACCCACCTATTTGTTTTTTTTTCTGGTTTTCGTGCAAAGTAGGCTGTCTACCAAACCAGCAACTATACATCTGTCGTCATACTTAATAGGGCCATACAAGTTGCCTGTAAAATTGCCTCGTAAACACCGTATTACATATGAATCAAATACTTACAAAAATCGCCGCCAAATTTAATTCCACTCTTTATTAGACATCCCTTGGCTTTTAGATACATGTAGGCGGCAAGGCTTTCCAAAAATTCCGATTTATTATCTTTGCTTGTGTATGCATAAGACTCCCAAAAAGTATGACAAAAAGCACGACTCTTCTAACTCCAACGTAAGGCAT